TCATAAAAAACAATGTGAGAGATGAAATATATTAGCAATTTCAAAACATGTTTTTATTGTAAGGGAAATTATTTTCAAGGTTTATAGTTATTAAAGAACCATAATAATTTGGTAGAAAATATCGCAACTAATTATTGTAAGGGGAAGTAATTTTTTATTTTAAAATGTTATGCAGAATTTTTTCTAAATGTTTAATTGATAGAATACATGAAAGTTAAAAACTAAAATAGGTCATGATCATTATTATTTATTTAGTACTAAATAAACATTAAGAAAAGATAGTAGACCTACTTTTGTCTAAGATGTAATTTTTTCACAAGTTATTAAAAGTCTTACCCTGGAAGGGTAACACTTCCTCTTAAATCTCCATGGCGATCATAAATTTTAGCTGTACTATCAGCCCTGAAGATATAAAAATTAAAGTTCAGAAAAACTATTTGAAAGTAGGCTACAATTGACGAAGCAGCCACAATAAATAATGTTACAGCTATATTTTAATGACCAAGTGTTCATAGTTACAGCATCACATTTTAAAAAACAACAACTGATAAGTAAAAGAGTTGTGATTATAAATATAATGAAATTAAAGATGATTTTTAATTGATAATTTGATACAAAACTTCACTGTTGCTGCTAAGATGATTGGTCTTGTAATGAAATGAAAGATAACTTTGATATACAATAGCATAAAAATCTACCCTGTAGTGGCCAGAAAGTTTCCTTGAGTCCTCTGCCAGGAATAAATTACATGGCCTTGTCCATGAGCCCTTTCAGGCAAGCTGAAAATTCGCTGAAAATTGAATAGTGTAATGTTAATAATAATTTTTTGGCTGTTGATAAATGTTTATCTTGCAGGCCTAACTATAAATTTGGCAGTGTCATATAGATATGTGCCATATAGTAAATAAACAGCAAGTATCAACAACACAGATAATTGTTGAAACGGTAACTATTATTAGTTAGTGTTCATTACTATTAGTAATAGGTTAGGCAGCGGCACAGCTACCCTTCCCAAATTTTCAATTTGCACCCCCCCCCCTCTCAAACTTTCGATTTGCACCCTCCCTCAAACTTTTGATTTGCACCCCCCCCCCCTCAAACTATTTATAATGAAAAAATGCAGCGTAAATGATACTTTAATTTGTTATTACAACCCATTTTGGCACCCCCTAAGGTTGGCGCCCGGGGACATATGTAACCCCATCCCTACGCCTCTGAGGCTAGGCCTACATAATTATTAATAGAAGTAATGCAAGTTAAAAGGTATGGATTTTAACACAGAAGTAGCGGTAGTAAGGAGTAACAGTCATTACTAACGATAATAATAAATTTAAATAAATATTAATAATATTATTATACTCCTAGGCCTATAATTTAATTTATTATAAATAGGGCCTATTTAGTAGGCCCCTATTATTTATTAAAGTTTAAATTAAATTTTAAAATGTAGGCCCTCTGCCCCCTCTTGACTCTACTCTAACTCTAGAGTCTAGTCTAGGGCCTAGGCAGTCTAGGCCTTTATAATAATATAATTTTATAATATTTATTACTTTTAATAGTTTTAAGAGGGCCTATCTAGTATCTATGCCCTATTAAAGTATAAGATACTTTAAGATTCAGTTTAAGATAGACCACATTAACTAAGACCTGCCATGGCCTTAGGCCTATTTAAAAACGAAGTGTCTATTCACAGCCGGCTGTGAATAGCCGTATTGGGGCTATTCACAGTCGTGACCGTTTTTGATAGATTTAATGTTAAAAATACCTAACTGGGCATGAAGATGTGTGGTCGAGTGGTCATATGGAGAGGCTGTCATGCAAGAAGGTCGGGGTTAAAATCCAACAAATGCCAAATGGTCTGACCCTTAAATCTTAATGTATACCTCATAATCTTATCAAAATATTTTTTTCACAATTAGATCTAGATCTAGATTCTACTTGAGTTACTCATGGAAGGGTTATTTTTGTTAATTTTTTTTTCGTTTGTGACGTAATTGTTGGCATATCAGCAAAAAAATAAAGGACCTGTCCAGTAGATTTTTGCTAAGAGAAAAAACAAAAGGGTGATGGAAACTGAATAATAGCTGATGAAAAAGGACATCCTATTTCACCTGATATTTATTCTAGATCTAGAATCTAGATCTAGAAATCTATGTGATAATGTGAATTTTTAATGGTAATTGATAGTTGAATAGCAATGTGAACAAACAAATAAACTGATGCTTAATTAGTATTATTTATTTAAAAATTACTAGATCTATTATTCTAGTGTTAAGTGTATAGATTTAGAGTGTATAATTGATAATCTAATCATATATGACATATGACCTACTTAGCCTGTAGCAGATATGTCTGATATGAGCCTAAAAGTTAAACTAAACTTTAACGGTAATAACTTTTAATATAAAAATATAACAAAATAAAAATAGCACTGCTCTCTTAATCTATACCTCACTCCCCAGTCACAATAAATGCTTAGCCTATATTATTTTAAGATATATTCACAGTCGTATAGTATGAAATGACAGCCGACTGTGAATAGCCGTATTGGGGCTATTCACAGTCGGCTGGGAATAGCCCCAATACGGCTATTCCCAACCGGCTGGGAATAGCCTTGCCATCTATATATATAATTCTCTTCTTCGAGCCGTTAGAAAACAAGCTGCAAACGCTCTCCCTACCTCCCCACCCCTACATGGTTTAGTTTAGTGAGCTGTGTTCACTCTAAATGTTTACAAGCAGAGCCAACGATTTTAAACGTAGGGGGGGGGGGGAAGGAAGGGGGGGGTTATGGTCCTTAACGAGCTACTTATACTTATAGTACTTATAGTAGGTTTTTCGATTCGTGAAATCTCGTTCTCGCAGTTTTGAAGCACCCGTGTTTTGGGTGGCCATATAAAATATCGAATCATTTCTTTCTCATGAAGTACATGATAGTTAAAACTAAGGATTGTATCGTAATCGGATAGATTTTCACTCGAAACTGCCCATGTATTTACGGGGCGAATAATTAACATTTTAATAATGGCAGCTTGACCTAATTTCTTTATTTGTATTTAACGAGGCAGTCGAGAGAAAGTCACGCTGACCTAGCTTGCGTTTCAAGTCTAATAAACTAAAAGCAGGTGAGTTCTACAATAACTTTATTGTAATATACAATTTGTATATCATCTTTACTATCAAATAAAAATAGAATTGTTTAATATAATTAGGGTGGAAACAATGCTTTTGAGGGTGTAAGTAATAATGCCATTTTATTATATTCTTGTTTGGTGAAAACGAGGCGCGGGAAAATGTGTGCCGCGCAAGAATCCAATCATTTGGCTAGATTTATGACTGTTTTTTATGTCATACCTAAAAATAGAATGTTTACGCTTTCTTCGTTGATGATCGTTTTTATTATTTTTTAAATTGAAAGTATGAATTATTAGTTAGATTGCGGATTTTGTAACTTGGTATACTTACCTTTTATCAATTTAAAAAACATAGCATGCTAATTGTGAACAAATATAGTCATAAAACACAGAAATATAAAGTTATAATTGCGATGTGCCACACCCGGGCCACACCCCCTCAAGAAAGCATGTGTTTATTAAGCTGTTTATCTCACTTTACAACAGTAATTAAAATTAATTTTCAAATTTTTATCACTTATTGGGTAAGATTAAGCACATGTTTACCAAAAATAAAAATAAAACAAAAGCAAATTCTGTTTTAATGAAGGTCACGGGTGAAGTTTTTTTTTCCTTCTGTCACGTTCAGTGGAGGGTGCCACAGGCTGACCTGACTTTGGAATTTTTTTCAGTAATAATGACTTTGCACAGAAAGTTAAAATATGCTAAATTAGCTTAGTTTACTAGTGTTCTAGCTATTATTGATACATTTTTAATAAAAAAATCATTCTGTAATTCTCATCAAACAGCCTAACTTATAGATCGGTAATCTATCGTTTTGGGTACGTAAAATCGCCCGCGACTAGTAATGTGAAAAACAGGTGACTCCTTACATTTTAATAATTATTTCACATTTTGAGGAGGATTTATGTTTTAAAAATACAAAAATGTTTCCTTGTTTCATTTATGTACCTGTTTTTAAACAATTGAATTAAAACTTTTCAGTAATAAATGAAGACTAGCGATGTTTCCAACAGATGCAACCATGCTCATTTACTATAGCAGCCATCTTGTAAAAGTTTTATTTTTATAGACTTAAAGCGCAAGATTCAGGCGGAAGTCACTCTATTTTACAAATGGCTGCTGTTTATATAGCAAATCTTGCTTGCAGACACTGCTGTTTAAAGTTAATTTCTGGCCTATATTGATATATTTAGCCATTGATTTAGGTTTATTATCCATTTATCTATAATATTTGACATAAACATATCACAATATACTTCTTTTTACAGCATTGACAATGAGGTAACGTTTTCGTACATTAATAGCCGCGGGCGATTTTACGTACCCAAAACGATAGATTACCTATAGATCTAGTGTTTTAAAACTTTTAAAGAAATATTTTCAGTGTCAGCGTTGGTACTGTCGAATTCACAAATTATGAATTATTGAAAATTAGAAACAACCAAATAGCGGCGTATGTTATGCCGCGGGCCGGCTCGTTTAAAAATAATTTAAATGAATAAAGTTGGAGTTTACAACATTCATTTACACGTACTTTCATATTAGAAGCCATTTTGAGCTGAAGGAATGTTTATTTTTCTGCACAGCTATTCGATGCGCATGCCTTACAGGAAATCTAAGGGAAATATTGAAGAGCTACTGTTTAGAAAAGTCTTAAAAGTTTTATGATTACTGGTTGCCATGGATATATTTAAAGCTACAAGTTTTACATTTTCAATGCACATGATATTTCCTTAAGATACTAAATTAAAAAAAAACGAGCTTTATTATAATGCGAAGAACGATACTCGAAAATTAATGTTTAAACATTATTAATTATTAAATAATAATGTTCCGATTTTGAAAAAATAAACTAACAGGAAGTGGCAACGGTAAACAAATGGCGACTAACCTTATTTTGTTTATATTATTTTCTAAAAGAAAGAACGTGAGATATTGTTTAAATTGAATGTTAATGCTATTATTTAATATTCATGTATCTTACACATTGCTTTATACATAAAATATCAATATGGCGGAAAAAAAGTATGATCTAGCCTTGATAGATACAAAAAATGATCAGCCTGTAAAACATCAAAAATGGTAAGATAAAATTTTGGTAATCCCTTAGTTTAGCGTCGGAAATTATCGGGTAATGTTTGTTGAGTTTCGGTAATTAGAGTTACGGTAAACCATGGTTTATTTGACCATTGAAATAATAATAAATTGAAAGTCGATTGTAGTAAATTAATGTTTTATTTTTTTAAGTTTAATCGACAAAAGGAAACAAGAATAAATATAATAGTAGATTTAAATTAGTAGATCTAAAAATAAAAACATATATTAATATAAATATAAATTAAATAATGTAGCCTATCAAATGTAATAATTTAATGTTTTTGGCTTGCAGCGGATTTGCGACCATTAATTAATTAGATTAGATCTAGATCTAGCTAGATATCTAGCTGCTAGGCCAAGTAAAAAAATCTAGATTACGAAAATAGTAAAAATGATTACAAAATGTAAAAATGATTACAAAAATAAATCTATCCAAATTTTAAACATTCTGTATAAAAATAAAAGAAGACGCCAAATAAAGTATGGTTTACGGTACTTCCGGTGAATTCCGGAAGTGTGTGACAGACTTTGGCATTGTTTTACTGTTTTTTACTGCTATACGATTCCGGAATAATAACCGACGCTAAACTAAGGGATTACCAAAATTTTAATTTTAAAAATTAAAATGATCATAAAACTAAAAGATAAGTAACACTTAACTCCACATAATACGTTAAGCAAACTTATTATTAACTTAATGTCTTAAGTTAGTTGGTATTAGTAGCCTATCTAGTTATTAAATAGTAGTAGGCCTCCTAAGTAAGTCTCAGTAAAAGTTGTATATGACTCAAGTAAGTTTTTTAAATAATAAATTAAGTAGCCTAAAGACTCCTAAAGTAATTTTGAAGTAATTCCTTACTACTTAATAGTAACTGTTAATTAACTAATATTAATTAGTTATTAGATTTCAAGATCTAGTTACACATTTTTTGACAATTTTTACCTGCCCCCTCCCCTCCCCTCTGTCACACATTGTCACAAAAAGCCAGACCCCCCCCTAAAATGACGTCACACCTCAGCCTACAACCCTCCTCAAAATTGCTGTTGAATTTTTCTTAAAACATTAATATTTTTCCAAAATCTTGTCAGTACTCTGTCAACATATAGTATTTTGATAAATTCCTGTTACAATTTATTAAACCTTTTTCTAAAACGCGAAATAACAGCTAAAACTCGTTTTCTAACATTGCTTTTTTATAATGCAAAGAAGTTATGTCACACCATCTGATTCCCCCCTCCCCCTCATCAAACACCGTCACAAAATTATGGAGCCTGCTCCCCCCTATGAGTGTTACGTCATTTATGGACGACCCCATAATGTTTGTCATTTATGTTTAATTTGAAAATAACAAACACATTTTTTCTTACTTTGTAAATTAAATATTTTGTTGTAATAAATGTTGCAGGTATAAAGAGAGGCTTCAAACTAAATACATTAAAAATTTGAAGCCTGGTGAAAAAATAACTACAAGCAACACTAAGGATTGGATTTTTTTAAAAGATGGATTAGATGACTTTAGAGATGGCCTTCCTCCTGATTCAAATGGCTGTGATTTTATAAAGGTAAAATTGTGTTAAACAGTTTTTATAATGACTTTTTCTAGCTTCACATCATCATTCATTGTAGTTCATAGCTGTTTATTTTTTTTATTACATATATTGAAATTAATATACTTAAGTTTTTTTTAACTTAATAGATCGGCAAAGGAGATTTTCCTATAATTAGCAGTGATTTTCTTAGCTGCAATAGTGGAGGTTTGAAAAAACCAGGAACTAAGAAAAGGCTTAGTCGATTTCAGACCTATTTATCTAAGAATACACCACAGCAATACCAACGAAGAGCATTTGTGGAAGAAGTTGAGCAAGGTTTACTAAAGCATCCATTAGCCTTATACCCACACTTGGAAGAAAGTGTTGCACCAGAGGTAACAATTGTGAATGTTTATATTTTTTAAAATGATTTTTCGAAAACTAATGTGAAATAAATGCATTTTAAAATAAGATTCAAAGGTTTATTTGTTTGTTAACATTAATATTTACCATTGAGGCTAGGTTTTCTTTACTGTCACCACTATTTTTTTTACCTAGAGTTGCAAGGCTACTACAATTAAATTAAAGCTTAAGTTTTAATTAAAATAACCTCTGTCAATTCTATTTGGAGCTCCCATTTAAAAAAAACAACAACTGGAGAACTGTATTTCTGCACATGTGGATGAAGTCTTATTAGTTTGTGTTTCTCATACATTTGTAATGTAGAAAATGTCTATGATCGGACTACAAACAAATTGTATGTAAAATTGATCTTTGGTTTCAGAGAAGGCCCTTGTTAAAATCTAAGTTGCAGGCAGTAGCTGCTTATAAAGGAAACAATGAAATTATTCAAAAAGTATTCTTAAAAAAAACTTGATGTTTGAGTTCATTTCAATTTTTGAAAAAAATTATGCTTTATCCACTTTTTGTTTTGTTTGAAATATCTGTTTCAGTTCAAGTTTAACCTAAACTCATTAAATATAGAATATAATCAAAAGATGCCTAGATTTAAAAAATAAATGTCTATTTAAAATATCTATTTATTGCTGATTTTTTAAATTAAAAACAAAATGCAGTTTACTATCTGAATTAAATAACCTCTTCAACAAACTAGGCTGACAAAAAATGAAATGTTTTAATTTGCAGATTTATTGTTTTGAACTACATTAGTTATTGTGTATACAATAAATGTGAGCAGCTGTCATGTTATTCTGTTGTTGTGTTTCAGATATTTGAAGACATTGTAGATCTTCTAGACCCACAGTTTAATATAAATGAGATTCAAGATGATGATATTGAAGGTCTTGGAAAATTAGATGAGCATTTAGAAGACGGTTCGTTCCCTGAAGCAGATCAAAGTGTGAGGCCTAAGCCAGATGATTTAGGGTATGTTTTTAATGTTTTTGGTCAATTTTGTATTTTTTGCTTTCAATAACAAATTACTAATGTATTTCCAAATGTCTTTACTAATTAAATGATTAAAACTAAATTTTAACAGAACTTCAGTTTGCCAGAGTACATTAGGATTTTTTGCATGATTATTCACGGATCTTTAATAAATTAACAAATGTCTATTTCCAAATAAGTAAAGAGGACCTTTAAATGAATAAGTGTTTTTCTTTGAGTTATTTATGTAAGGTTTATGTTTTATTGATTTACAATTAAGTTTAAATTATTAAAAAAAAAGGTATCACTCCACTTAAGTATGTGTTATATAACATATGATGTATTATGATACTATTTATTGAACTTATTAATTGAAAGAGTTATTGGATAATTAAATAAATACTTAAGATATTTTAACTAGTGCGAATAAAAAAAGGTAGCTGCTGTGAGGTATTAATAAAAACTTATAATAAAACAGTTGTAATAGATTGAGATAATTGTGAGGTCAAGGGAACTCACTCTTCTGTATTAGTATTATATTTATATTGTTATATTGAGTGATGTCCCTTGTATATGGTACTTCCTCTTTGTTGGGTTCTGGAATCTAGGGTATATATATATATGTAGCGACAAACAAAGACAACTAACACTATATAAATATAATAATAACAATAAGATGTTTAATATAAATATATACAGTAATAAGAATAATAAAAGAGCAAATGGAGTCTACAACATAAAATAACAAGATACTCAACGTCTCCCCGTCCACAGCCACAGCACAACTTCACATCCAGATCTCAACCCCACGTTCCACGTCCACAGCCACACTACAACTAACTGATTCACACACTGGCACACGCTCTGACACCCGTCACCTGACACATCTCACGTGAACACCTCTCGCTCCATGTAAACACACTCAACCAAGGGATACAACTATACACCAAAGGGAGGGTACCTGTCGTTCCAGCACACAACACACACACACACAAGCAGGGGACATGTAAGGGACGTAACATCCCTCCCCTCCACCTTCAGATCTCTTTTCCTTAAAGAGATCAAACATCTCTTGTTCCATTAGCCACTGTTGGTGCCCGAGCTCGACTACTTATTCTTTAGTCCTTAGGAAGCCTCGCTTTGACCGGTGGGGACAGCGTTTGGCGTATATCCAGCCTGGACAGTTCGATCCAGAGTGTGGCTTGTATCCAGCCTGGACAGTTCGATCCAGAGTGTGGCTTGTATCCAGCCTGGATAGTTCGATCCAGAGTGTGGCTTGTATCCAGCCTGGACAGTTCGGTCCAGAGTGTGGCTCGCATCCAGCTTTAACATTTCGGTCCTGAGAGTGGACTATGGTTTTCTCCGGCCGGGCACCAAGCTCGTGGTCTGACTATCTCAACCTATGAAGATACATGTGAGAAGCCACAATAAAAAATTTGATTTGCATAATCATTCTAAACTGCATCAGTAATACCTTTCTCAAACATTTCTCAATATAATTATATTATAATGCCTCAATAGTAAATTCCTTAACATAATCATACCATACTCCAACAATAATACATTTCTCAATATCATATACACTAGTTGGCGTAAAACACTCGTGATAGAATGTCTGCTACAAAGTTCTCAGTTCCCTTGATATGTTTCACAGTACAGGCTGTTTCCTGTAGTGTAAGGGCCCATCGGCAGATGCGTACGTCGCCATAGATGGTCATCTTTTCTTAAAGGCGATCAAACTGAGTTCCTTTCTCGATAGCCGTTTTAACTACATTAATCATCTCCAGCCCGTAATCATCATACACAGCTTCTGTAAAAAACAAAAAAAAAACAAAGAAAAATTTACATTGATTGAATAAATTATCTTAACAAAAAACTTACCAAGGACACTACCTTTGTAAGGATACGCCTCCAAATTTCATGCTTTACCTCACTCTCATATGAGAGTCTTTAAGCAGGGAAAAATTTCCTAACATATCACGCTGAGCTGTGGGACACACCCGTGATATGTGACCAACACCACCGCAGCAATAACACTTGAGATCATCTGACCGTCGATGTACATTTTCAGTACGCCAGTTGCTCGCTCTACTGGTCCCGTTGGGACAGTTTCGTTGTATGTGGCCTGGCTTTCTACAGCTATAACAGGCGCCTGTATCTATATCCATACTGCACTTTTTGGCAATATGACCTTGTTCATTGCACTTGTAGCACCGATAAGGTCTTTTGTTGTTTCCATACTCCACAACAGCTCTTTTATCTGACCTATTTCTCCAAGTAAAGCCGCTATTACTATTGCTATGACAATCCCTGGCATAGTGCCCATAACGTCCACATGTGAAACATTTACTGCTCAGGCTGACCTTCCTAACACCATGCATAGGCTGTACACCAAGGCAAGTGTGGTGTCCTGGAGATTGCGGTGTCGTGTTTAGCCAGGGTATCCTCTCTGCTGTCGAACTAGCAGCGACGTACGGAGGGGTTTGATTTACTGGCCTCGTCACTCTTGCGTTTCGAGTGCTCTTATAGTTGTCAATAACTTTAAGATTATCTTCCACACTTACCTTGGCAGCACCATTCAGCCTCTCCAACAGATCACAAGTAACAACCGATTTTATCCGATCAACTATCAGGAGGTTCACCAAGTCCTCAAACGTTTCCTTTATTCCCGACTGCTGGACCCACGCTCTCAAAGCGGCTTCTGTGTTGACTGCGAAGCTTCTCATATCGTCGTGTGTTGGTACTAGCTGGTGGAATCTGACCCTATACTTTTCCTCGTTGAAACCTGCGTGCGTGAATAACTTTACCTTTACTGACTCGAAGTCCTGATGCAAGTTCAGTCCCGTCTCAACGAGGAAAGTCTTCAGTTGTCCACTCATCTTGTCCGTCAGAAGGAGCGACCAGTCCTTGGGGTCAATGCCTTGTCTCTTTGCCTGACTCTCAAAATGCCTCACATACGCACCCAGGTCTTCGTCCACCGTCATCGCCGCCACATCCCTCAAGCGGCGTACAGGGTTACATACCTTTGCTACAACCTCGACCTTCGCATCTTCCACCCTCCTCAACTCTTCCTTCACCCACTCCGCCAAACTGTCATCGGTCAGCCCAATTAGCTTTCCCTCCTCCTTCAAATCACTTATTAGCTGTCTTCTGGCACTCCTGGTAGTAGCCATGCTAAACGGACGAGCCCCCAAATGTTGGGTTCTGGAATCTAGGGTATATATATATATGTAGCGACAAACAAAGACAACTAACACTATATAAATATAATAATAACAATAAGATGTTTAATATAAATATATACAGTAATAAGAATAATAAAAGAGCAAATGGTGTCTACAACATAAAATAACAAGATACTCAACGTCTCCCCGTCCACAGCCACAGCACAACTTCACATCCAGATCTCAACCCCCACGTTCCACGTTCCACGTCCACAGCCACACTACAACTAACTGATTCACACACTGGCACACGCTCTGACACCCGTCACCTGACACACCTCACGTGAACACCTCTCGCTCCATGTAAACACACTCAACCAAGGGATACAACTATACACCAAAGGGAGGGTACCTGTCGTTCCAGCACACAACACACACACACACAAGCAGGGGACATGTAAGGGACGTAACACTCTTCCTCTTTCCTCCATGGCTGTAAATAAAGACTGTTAACAACCGATGTGGCTCCTCGTCAGTGTTTACCAATCTATCTCAACAGTAATATTAGTATCCTCACAAAGTAAAGACATTTACAAGTCAAGTCCAATTTACAAAGTTTCTGAATAAAGTGTTTTAAATTATTAATACAATTTCACTTTTTTAGTCATTAGTTTTGTGACATTTTACAGAATTTTGCTAACTATAATCTTCAATAGACACAAAATGAATTACTTGTAATTTTTAAATCTAATTTACAATTGATTCTGAATGTTAAAAAAATAAGGTAGCATATATAATACCTTTGATGGTTATTACTATGTTTACACACAGATTTAAAGATGGTGATACCTTGGCAACGAAAAATCTGTACCGCTGGGTGCCTCGTAAAGAAAGCAAGAAAGATGGAAAGAAGACCAAAGAGAGTGAGATACCCTGGAGTAACACTATTGCTGAAGAAGAACACATGAAAAGAGTCACACAGGTAATAGCCCACAACTAGCCTCTGCTCTCTTACAAACATTTCCTAATTAATATTTTAATTCTATAATAATAAAATAATTATTGTAACTTTTTTTTAAAAGTAGTAGGGCCTATATAGTAGACACCTACATCACTGATAAAAGCTTGCTTGGAACAAAGTGAAAATTCAATTTTTATTTTTAATTATATTTAACAAATATTTTAGGAATTTTGTGAATGGGTGCAAGATCTTGGTGGTGAGACCAACAATATAGAGGAGTCCACAATAACTAGTCTGTTTGCCAGTGGGTAAGTTTGCCAATATGTTTGATGGGTGAGACCAACAATATAGAGGAGTCCACAATAACTAGTCTGTTTGCCAGTGGGTAAGTTTGCCAATATGTTGATGGGTGAGACCAACAATATAGAGGAGTCCACAATAACTAGTCTGTTTGCTAGTGGGTAAGTTTGCCAATATGTTGATGACAGTGTGTAGTTAGGCAGCAAGTTTTCACCCTGTTCACCCTGATAATGTTGCATGTAATGACTTATTTAATTGTGTTTCGAAAAGTTAATTCCCCTACATTTTCATTACCACACTGTAAATCTATAAATGTAATGCAGTTTACTTTAAAAAAAGAACATAAATAAACAACTTTTATAGTCAATAATATTAAAAGTTATATTTAACTTTAAAAATATAAAAATTTTAGTTAATACTTTAGTTTAAAAAAAATTAAATGATCATATGGTGGTGTACTTAACTTGCCTCCACCACACTTAAATGTTAGGAGCAATGTACATTGATTTTCTATTTCTAGCTATGAAACTAAACCCGCCCTCTCCGTGCCTATACATGTTGTTGAGCTGACCAACGTCCCTCAGGAACTCCGAGTGTCAGCAGTTGTGCCACCTCCTGCCCCCACATCAAAAACTCATTTGGCTAACTTTGAAGCTCCAAAAAAGGTTGATACATGTTAATTTTTTACAAATTAAGTGTAATTAATTTTCACTTAGCTGATTTAGTTTTTCTATATAAGTATGTGAAGCTTACAATTATAGATCATTAATAACATGCAGTCTTATTACAATCAATTACAAGTGTGATTCATATTTAAAAGTTTAAAAGCATAACATTTTGATTGATTCTATTTTTAGAAAATCTCCAGCGATTATGAGCCAAGCTGGGTTAAATTTAGATATGGTGCTTGGTATTTGCATCCAAAGACTTGGAAGAAAATGGGCTACACAGAACCCCTTGAGGACCCCAAACAGTTGAAAGAATATGAGTTATCAGAAGCAAAGAAAAGGAGCAATGAATTGGTAAGTTGACTCTCAATTCAAATATATTTTATTATAGGGATAGACTAAATTTAAAAGTAAAAAAAAATGCTAACTTAATTCATATTAAAGTATTATTTCCAAACACTTTAAAGACAAAAATTATTTCAAATTTTTAAAAATATTTCTTTTTAGAATCATGAATTGGCTGGCATGCATGCATCCAAGGCATTTTCTGAATTTATACCAAGGAAAAACACCAGAAAACCAGAGGTAAAATCTTAGGGATCTTAACTAATAGCAATAAAAGTGTGTAGGCCAAATAAAACTTGGATTGGAAGAATTGAAGCCTGTCATTATTTAAGGTGGAGACTTATTGCCCAAAGATCCAAACCACATTTGCCTTAAATATTTTGTGATAAAGATCTAGTTCTGTAAAAAAATTATTCTCATAATATTTTGTAATTTAGGTGAATATTTATCTTGTAAGCAGTTAATTTTGGTGTAGGTTTTCACTGCACTTTTTTTTTACTGTCACTGATGGCCACTAACGTAGAGGTATAAAAACCAGAGTGGCACTGTTTTGGTGTATTTAACAGAGCAGTTTTAACGAGCGGATGGGATTTAATAACGAAATTGTAGAAGAGTTGAAAAATTATTTGTATATACAGTAAATGAAAAAATTAATTGTTTTCCACAATTTTTTTGCCAATTCAAGTTTTTGGTCGAAGTGTCAGAGATCCAGAAAAAGGCGGCAGAAGAGGAGCAGAGGAGGTTAGAACTAGAGCAGCAGAGCAAACAGAAGAAACGAATGTCTCTGAAAGAAGTGGTAGAGGCATAGCTATTGTACTCCAAGAAACATTTCATCCACGTGGGTTATCTACCAAGTCCCGTGGGTTATCTCCCTGTCCCAGCTCTGACAGATGCTGGGCTCACAAGACTTTTAATCTGAAATCACTTCTTTGTTTGCCTTGGAAAAGTTTGTTCAAGAGGAATATCTGCAATCTTACATCACAATAATGAATAAATTTAGCACTGTCTGTTTTTTAACTTTATTTTACCCATCACTTTAGATTATTTTCTACTTAACACTACAGTTGAGAATTGCAAACTTTGGTCACAGTCTACTGTCAAACATTTCCTTTTTAAATAAAAGTATTGCCTTTTGTATATGTAGTGCTTCTCAATTCCATTTCTGTCTCACCAAAACTTTTCATTTTCCTAAGTGGATGGCAATTATAACTTATCATAAAATTATTATTTTTTTAATAAGGCGAGAGAATATCTAGTTTCAGCAAAAAGGATAAAGGTGATATGGTTATTTATAGTAAAAAAAAATTCTGATGAAGATATGTAAGATAGAGTGAGTTTAATCTCAAATATAGAGCTGTTTTGGCATTGATTATTTTCGCATAGCCTACTATAGTATAGGACAATGTTGGATTGTGTAGAAATAAATTTTAAACCAAATTTTAAAAAATACAAATAATAATTGGGTGTACATAAATTGTTTTCAAATGGTGAAGTATTTTTTATCTAGTTATTGTCGTTGAATTGACAGCTTTGTCTTCATGAGGTAATGTTTGTCAAACATTCCGTGGAATAGTGAAACAAACACAGATGGAATCTTAAAGAAAAGGTGGAGAATGATGGCATGAATAGTACTGATAAAAGCAGTATTAATGTGTGTATATGTGTTAATATAAGTATGTTTGTAGGATATATATATATATATATATATATATATATATATATATATATATATATATATATATATATATATATATATATATATATATATATATAATTTGTATATTTAGGCGGCCTGTAATCAAGCTCATTTAATAATCGTCAGTATCTTGTACATATACAGAGTTTCTTCCAGGCATCTCTTCTAGGAAAAGTCTATCCCCGAAAGAAGTGGAAGATATAAAATATATACTTTTACCGCCCCCCCCCCCTTCCCCGGAAAAAAAATCGTCTGGAAGAAACATTGTATTATAAAGAAAAAGAGACCTACGGTTATGCTGAGTGTGAATATTAATGAGTTGTGTCCCTTAAGTAATTTATTGTTCTGATTCATTTCTGTTTCAGCTCTCCATCGTGATAAAAGCTTTTTTTTTTTTAATTTTTTTTTTCCAAAACAAATTAGTACTCAAAAAAAAAAAAAGAATATAGTTGAAATTGTTTTGACAAGTTGTATACATAATGTTTTCAACCCTTCATCATCAATCTTGACAATTGGCAATACATTAAAATTATGTTTTTCAACCTCTCCTGAGATTCATGCTGCAGATTTTATTTCTAATGAATGTTTTTCGTTGACACTTCTTCGTATATTTATTTAACACAATTTAAAAAAAAAAATTAGATATGCAATTTTTAAAAATGTTTACATTTTTTTGAATAATATCTAATAAACAAGATTAGATATGTTTTTACAAGCTTTTATTTAACTCGCTTCCTCTGTCGTCAGTCGTCAGTCTGTCTAGACCGAAACGCAGTAGTGAAAATTCGGAAACTTCTACTTGACCGATACGATTCACACTTGGCACGTGGGTCAAGACATGAAGACAATGCAATCTGAATCTAAATTTGACTTAATTGGATGCCTAATTAATTTTTTATGAATTAACTAAAATTTGGACCGAATTAGTAGGCATGTCTAGCCAACCACACCACATACGTCATCACGTTCAATCAGGTTTAATAGCTGCGCTATCACGTTCAATAGACGCGCAATGGTTTTTAGTCTTGTAACACTATTGCAAATAAAACATGTAAAGTACTGAAAAAAAATTCATAAAAAACGTTTTAATAACAAGCTTTTATGTTATGATACACTAAAAAGTAGAAAATAAATTATACACTACTATTTAAATTACTATAAAGAAAAGCGTGGGTCTCTTCTCAAATATTAGTAAAGGTATCCAATAGGTACTAAAGTACTAAAGTGACCCACTATTTTCTTTATAGTAATTTAAATAGTAGTGTATAATTTATTTTCTACTTTTTAGTGTATCATTACATAAAAGCTTGTTATTAAAACGTTTTTTATGAATTTTTTATTGGAGCTTGTTTGTCACACAAATAAACGTAAATAATCACATCTTGTTTTATTAGAGTTATCTATCTTGACCCTCTGTCATTATCTTTAATGTTTTTCTTCCTGTCGTATAGAATTTAGTTGTAGGACGTTGACTCTACGGTGATAATACACTAGTTTATATCTAATGGGTTATTTCTGATTCTGATAGTATTGATACTAATGTAAGGACAGATGAAGTTCATGTCCTATCTTATTGAGCCCGACACCAGAGTTTCTTCCAGGCATCTCTTCGGGGGGGGGGGGGGGGGGGGGGGCAAAGCCCCCCCGAAATTTTTTTACCGCCCCCCCCCCCCCGAACGAAATGAAATTTATATAATTTATATAGAGAATATATACTTTTAACAGTGTCCGCCCCCCCCCCCCCGAAAATTTCAAGTGCCCCCCGGAGAAAAAAGTCTGGAAGAAACACTGCCCGACACATGATAAGGTTGTGTTTTGAACACCGCTCATCCGACTGAGGCGGTTAACTTTAGCTGGGTGGGTTCAGCAATATACTAGATCTATGGACTTTAGCACGGGGACCGAACTTGAGATTTTCGGGGTAGTAATCATGTTTTCTACTACTACGTCATTTTATGACGTAGACAGGTGTGGCTGGCAAGAACCGACCCATGTTTGTAAGTCTGGCGAGCTCACTAGACCGACCCATTGTTTATAAGTCTAACTTACTAGACCAACCCATGTTTGTAAGTCTGGCTATCTCACTAGACCGACCCATGTTTGTAAGTCTGGCTCACTAGACCCGACCCATGTTTGTAAGTCTGGCTAACTCACTAGACCAACCCATGTTTGTAAGTCTGGCTAACTCACTAGACCAACCCATGTTTATAAGTCTGGCTAACTCACTAGACCGACCCATGTTTGTAAGTCTGGTTAACTCACTAGACCTGACCCATGTTTGTAAGTCTGGCTAACTCACTAGACCTGACCCATGTTTGTAAGTCTGGCTAACTCACTAGACCAACCCATGTTTGTAAGTCTGGCTAACTCACTAGACCAACCCATGTTTGTAAGTCTAGCTAACTCACTAGACCAACCCATGTTTGTAAGTCTGGCTCACTAGACCCGACCCATGTTTGTAAGTCTGGCTAACTCACTAAACCAATCCATGTTAGTAAGTCCGGTTAACTCACTAGACCAACCCATGTTTGTAAGTCTGGCTCACTAGACCCGACCCATGTTTGTAAGTCTGGCTAACTCACAAGAGCAACCCATGTTTGTAAGTCTGGCTAACTCACTAGACCTGACCCATGTTTGTAAGTCTGGCTAACTCACTAGACCCAACCCATGTTTGTAAGTCTGGCTAACTCACTAGATCGACCCATGTTTATAAGTTTGGCTAACTCACTAGACCTGACCCATGTTTATAAGTCTGGCTAACTCACTAGACCAACCCATGTTTATAAGTCTGGCTAACTCACTAGACCCAACCCATGTTTGTAAGTCTGGCTAACTCACTAGACCCAACCCATGTTTGTAAGTCTGGCTAACTCACTAGACCTGACCCATGTTTGTAAGTCTGGTTAACTCACCAGACTCGACCCATGTTTGTTAGTCTAACTCATTAGACCGACCCATGTTTGTAAGTCTGGCTAACTCACTAGACCCAACCCATGTTTATAAGTCTGGCTAACTCACTAGCCCCGACTCATGTTTGTACATTCCCTAAACTTATCGCCCCTAGAGATTTTGATATTTTCCTCTATAAAACATACACTAATGATGACATAGCCCTAGGCCTGAATCTAGGCCTGAATCTAGGCCTGAATCCAAATTAAATGCCCATACACCAGTACTCAATCAAGGGCCTCATTGAAATCCCCATTAAACTTCGAACTAAACCCAAACAGTTTAATTTTTTAAACAACTTAACCCCCACATTACCATCGTTTGATTTGCCGCACCTACTATTACGCCTATTTCCTCTCTTTAACCTACTTGTAAGTTAACACTCAATTTTTTTTTCTAAGTAAAGTTGATTACAGACGACACGATGACTCACTTAGCTTATCTTTTTAATCAGATCATTAGAAAGTGTGGACTTAAGACTTGGTTTAAATCAATGCTTCTCAAACTGTCATCACACAACCAAAAAATAAAGCACGTCTACCGCCCCCCCCCCGCCCTGAAACGAAATAGAATGTATAAAGTAAATATATACTTTTACCAGTGTCCGCCCCCCCCCCCCCCGGGAAAATTTATTTCACTCCCCTACCCACCCAAAAGTTCGAAGAACCCCTTCCCCACCCCCCACGGAGAAATAAAAACTGACCATCCTAACACGCTTGTAGACAACATGTTAACTTCAAGTCAAGACGTTGGAGTGTTGGGGGGGGGGGGTGTTATGAACACCCCCCTCCCCTCCCAAAAAGGTGGTTGTTACATGTTATTTTACAGCTGTTTATATTTCTTTTCATACTGTCAGTTTCAAAATGGTAAGCTACACCAAACCTAATTTTTTACTTTCGGAAAGCACCTAGCTTTTCAAATAGCTGTCTACTGTACCAACACCAATTGTAACCATTACCCTGTATCTGTAAGTAAGTCTTGCTTCAACTATAAGAGTTAAATTACATTTAAAATAATTTGGTCGTCCTGATTTACCCGCGTACATGGATGTACATTATGAAGTGTTCACCATTAGACAGCCACTAGACAAGTGGCGGAGTCAAAAAGTGTAACAATGTTATTCGTAAATTCCGGGTTTGTTCCAGAAACTTTGCTTCGGTGGGGG